AGGAGGGCAGGCCCCCAGCCCTGCTGGCCATTCCCTTGGTGGTATGGCTGCCCCCAGTGGACCCTCTGCAGGATAGCTTCCCCCACGGGCTCACTGCCTCCCGTGGCCACTGTCATATTGTGTCCCTTTGTACAGCAGCCCCTTTGCATGTTATGGAAAACAGTCCTTTTCCCAGAGCTTCTAGTTGTCCTGGCATAACCAAACCCCAACCTTGCTTTAAGTTAGGAAAAGAGGAAGCTGCAAATTTAGTGGTCCTAGCTTTTACCATTTAGGAGGAGCTTTTGAACAAACAGATTCTCAGACAGACACACAGACAGACTCTCTCTCTCTTACACACAGACAGACTCTCTCTCTTTTTGTGTATATATATATATATATATATTTGGACAACAGCTTAGAGCTGGTAGTTCAAGGAAAAATAATTTAGTTTCAGTATCCATACATTCCACAAGGAGCCAAATGATGACAGGCGGTGTGCTTATTCTACTGTGTTGGGTGTTTCACCACACAATCCATTCGGTTAACTAAGCAGAGCAAATAAATAAATGATCAACCTTGCACACACACCCTAAAAACCAATAAAGTCATAAGTATTTTTGTATACTATTAGAGGCATAAAGATTAGGTTAAACATATTTATCAAAAATGATTAGTGATGTGGGGGTGCCCAGAATGAGACAGCTGAAAGAAGCATACTTTTTTTGAAAGCGTTGAGCTCCTCCAAATCAAGACCCTTTAAGGAGTCCCAATTGAGTACTGAAAATTATTAGTCAAAATCACAAGTCTTTTTTGGAAAGCATAGCATGTGACTTTCGTCCAAAGATCTCATAGCACTTACCAACAATTGCTAAGTATTATGCTAATTTTTTCATGTAGAGGAAACTAATAAATAGAGAAGTTAGATGACTTGCCCAAGGTCATTTGGCAGCACAGCATAAGAATTAGGAACAGAACCCAAGTTTCCCAACTCCCTGTGTGCTGCTCTACCCACTAGACAATGCTGCTTCTATCTTTTGCTCCTTGCTTCAATTTACAAAAAACAAACCAGATCATACCAACTTAAAAAATACCAGCAGTCTTTTTGAAAAGATAATTTATTATGCATCAGTATACATTTTTGTAATAAAAAACCTCCCAAGGCCTAAATATTACAAAATGAACAAGAAAATTCAGCTTCAGCCGTCCCCAAGACGTGCTAAATAAATTAGTATATAACACTATGCCTATCCCACAATATGTGTGGCAATTAACTCTGTCTAAAATGGGAAATATGCCATATATTTAATGTTGACATTTTTATAACACAGTTGAAAATTGTTTCTGAACACAGATATGGCAGGATCAAGTTAACCACTTATTTTTCACGCGAAAGCAAATACTGTAATGCACTAAAAACTGTTTCCCATTAGTTTTTTCTGGTCATATCTTTACTACAATTAGAGTTAGATTAAATAATTATTACTTAGCTGAATGCATGTCCAAATCCTAGATTAGCAGTCTCTCTAAAACAAAAATACAATTGTAATTGAACCCTGCATACATACATCTGGTGTCAATGGGAATTTTGTGCGTGTGAAAGGTTTACAGCATCAGACACTGATGTTAAAGATATGTTCTATATCAGTGTAATGCATTGCCTTGCTCGTATTAATCCCTTTAAAGACCCTAACCGAAATAATATTGCAGTCTTTTCTTAATAGTGAATCCATACATAGAAATGTGCTCCAGGATATTAAGATTACAGTACTTTTATATAAGAATAAAACAGGATACTGAAAGATATAACTCAATTGAGTGTGTACAGACACAGTCAATTCTATATCAAATTTAATAGGTTAGTCAGACAAACCATAACTCTGCATGGCTTTAATACATGGCCTAATACTCCATAGTTTTTATTTTTCAAATTTAAACAACTGGCTGAATTGAACCCTAACTTTGGTAACCCCATTGAACTTAGCGGGCCTGAGTCTCCACTTATGCCATGTCTAAATAGGCAATTATTTCGAATGTACTAAGTTCAATTTCTGGGCACCTGATTTTACAAATTCGAAGTTCTATGGCCTCACCATGGGGAAGAATTGATTGTAGTCTGAGTTAGCGCATCTACATTAATGGAGCCTGCCTCAGACTCAGAGCCCCAGAAAGCACTCTGGGGAGCTGTGGGAGTTCTCCTAGAGGCCAATTAGTTCAAATTAGTGGCACCGGAGTGTCCACGCTGATGTTATTTTGGACTTACAAATTTGAGAATAGCATTATCCCTCATGAAAAGCAGGACGACAGAGTTCAAACTCCAAGGACCTTTATTCCAGAATAACAGACTTGGTAGTGTGGACGCATTGCTTAGAAAATTGACCTTGGGGGGCTAATTTCAGACTAAGGTCCTAGTGTAGACCAGGACACAGTGACACTTTGTGTAGATCTAATCTGATTCCACTGACTTTTGATTTGCACTAGTAAAAATGGAGAGAGTGCATGGTCTAAATTAGATAAGAAATAACCCCAAATGTCATAAACTAAATTGCCAGAGCCCTTAGGATAGTGAGTGCTAACTAACCACCCATGTAATACAACTGCCTAGAATAAAATTGCTCTTGAACTAATATATTTCCCTGTGTATTGAATTATATAGCTTAACTGTACATGTTGGCTTAATGCTAATACATACATATGCAAGCTAAATTGTATTAACGGTAGAAACTACCTAGTTTTGTAATCTAGGGCAAAAATACAGAATTGTATACAATATATTGACAATTCTTAGGAAAAGAGGGTCCTGTACTCTTGCAGTATTTTATAAGATGACATTGTTGTAAACATCAAAATGTCTTGTTACACAGGTAACAGGTTGGGCTTGTCACAGGTATTTGTCAAACACTAATACATAAAAACAAACTTTTTACAGACCCAACAACCCAATCTGTTTTCTTCAAAATAGTATAAAGTTTGTGGCTATAAAAACAAACTACACATATAAAAAAATCAAAAATAATGTACTATACATTAACATTCTGATAGCTAGAGAAAAAAGAATATATACATAAATATAGATAGATAGATAGATAGATAGATAGATAGTAAATCACAGTTTCCTGCACTGAACACATCAAATAAAAATGTATCAAACAATACTGGGTGGTGTGCTTTCACATGCCTTGTGGTCTCCTTAAATCTCTGAGTTAAAATGGAAGACAAGCTTATAGACAGAATACAACTTGTTCAGTGACCTAAGGTCACACATGTTTACAAGATTAAAAAAAAAACCCAACCCCCCACACCAGAACCACCAGCTGCTCCCCGAACAGGTATGTGTGATAACAGAACAATAATTATGTAGAAGTCTTATTGAAATACAGGCTCCAATCCTGCAACTGAATCCAGGCAGGTGAACCCTGCCTCATAGGGCAGTCACATCTGTGCATGAGTCCACTCACTCACATCTGATTGTAAGACTGGGGCCAATATTGGCATGTTTTCTTGCTTTATTTTAATGAAAGTTTAACAGCTCTAACATACCTAGTGACCAATAGTACAGGTAACAACAAACTTAACATTCAACACGGTTGGTCAACACTGTCCTCTTCCTGACTCGAAAGATGGCTACTTAGATTTCAGACCACTTAGATAGCGCCTGCCCATTCTCTCACATTTTGCCCTGCTTTCAGCTATGTCCATGTATTTCAGTTATAAAAAGGCACTAGCTAATTTTTGGACACTGCATTGTTTTGCAATGTTCTAGGAGCCGTAGTTATCAAAATAATGAGGAAAAATCTATTTTGAAACCTATGCGCACAGTTACCCTTATTGTGCTTTTGGGGGAAAAAAATCACAACACACAACCTGTCTAGAAATGTTCTACACAGGTTTTTAATGCATAAATAACTATCCCTTGTAAGAAGGATGATTTAGTATTCCATAAGATTCTAGTGGCATTACTAGTCACAGTCTTTGGAATCTTGCAATTATTAGCTAGGAATAACACTCCCATCTACGTGTCAAGCGTCTTTTGGAGCATGGTATCCAAGCATTTCTTCTCTGAGACATACTTTCACTGCTGAACAGGTTAGTGATGTTTGGAACTTGAAGAGTTGTAAATCCAGTCCAGTGCAATTAGACTCATACTTCCGAGCATAAAAATTATGCCAACAATGAGAAATATCAGAGCCTGTAATTGGGGAAAAAGCCTATATTAATATAGAAAATGTTGATCACAGAATAATTCTACTGGAATCACTAGGAACCTGGATCTGCAAAGCAGTTTGGTAATCCCTCAGTGAACCATTTATCTGGATGAAAAAGTCTTCAAGGGGTAGTAGCTGTGTTAGTCTGTAACTTTAAAAACAACTTTTTTTAAAAAATGAGTAGTCCTGTTGCACCTTAGAGACTAACAAAAATATATACATAGTATCATGAGTTTTCGTGGGCATAATCTACTTCTTCAGATGAGATGATCTTGAGTCTATTTGGGTGAGAGTTACTCTTGTGCAGAGGACCAGCATGAACCCAGTTCGCCAGGCCTTCTACACAGAGATGAATGTCACCATATGTGAGCAAGGCTTTGCAGAATGGGCTCCAAACAGCTACATTATAGTATTTACTTGTTTCATTAATATGAATACTAATATGATTTATTTATTTTCTGGTTTTGTTTGATCTTTACAAATGGCCACATGTGATCTGATAGAACAAGCTTCTATTATTAAGTCCTTATGCCTTGATTCAGAAAAGCACTTATGAATGTATTTCACTCTGTCCCTATTCAGGATATCACTTAAGCACATGTTTAAATTTAATTATGTGATTAAATCCCAATGACTTAAATGGGACTTACATTTTTAAATTCTGAATCGGGACCTTTAATTAGCACGATCTTTGGACATTTCAACTTGTGGCACAAAAATTAACATTGTATTTAATCTCTGTGGATGATAATAAATTCTGAGTGTTTCAGACACAGAGAGAAACAGCAGGAAAAAGACACCAACTTTGCTTAAAAAATTTGCAAAAATATATAATAAGTAGTAATGTAGTTATTGAAAAGTTTATTCTTTTTATTTTTGTAATATGTATACATAACACTTTTTCCATGTTAAATATTTCAAACAATTATATTTATGTATATATTTAATCAAAATCTTTTCTGATTCATTTTCAGTCTATGCTTTCCCAAAAGATATTTGTTTAAATAAATTATAGATGTTAGTGTTCAGGAAAAGAAGACATTGATATCATTGGCTAGAGCCTAGCATAATATACATGCATGCTGTGGATATATGATATGTCTCCTAAATGTTTACTCATCTACCTCAGCCAGGATCTCTATTAATCAGTGATACAGTGTCCTTGTTAACTTCAATGTGCAATCTCTTTCCTAATACATTGCTGACTCCTAATACACTGAGGTTATGTCTACACTGCAGGCTTCTTGCACAAGAAGCTTTTTGCAGAAGAGATCTTCCACAAAAACGTCTTGTGCAAGAGCGCTTCCACACTGCAAAAGTGCATCGGAAAAGCGATGCACTTTTGTGCAAGAGAGCGTCCATGCTGCATGGACACTCTCTCGCAAGAAAGCTCTGATTGCCATTAACAGAATGGCCACCAGGGCATCTGTGCTTGTTTCGATAGGCTGTTTTTGCGCAAAAAAACCTCTGCTGCCCATCCACACACACCTTTTTGCACAAGAGCCCTTGCACAAAAAGGAATTATTCCTCGTAGAAGAAGGAATACCTATACTGCAAAAATCCCTCTGTTCTGTCAATTCACTGTAAATTTTCTTGTGCAAAAATGTGTTTGAGGTGTGGACGCTTCGCAAGTTTTTGCACAAAAACTCTGCAGTGTAGACATAGCCTCAGACAGCCACTTGTTCTAAAGCTGTGGTGTCTAATATGCTAGTCATTAGCCACATGTGGCTATTTGACCGGTTGAGTGTGGCTAGTTCGCTATAACAGGTTGGACACTACGATTCTAAAGTATGTGGCAGTTGAGTGTTATGTCTAGGAATTAAATAGGGACTGCTTTGAAATGAGTAAATGCCTTTTGCATGTGGTTTAAAACAGAAGTTAATTCAGCTACACATTGCTATTTAGCCCTTTACAAAATGATTGTCCATTTAATGTTTCTCAAATGGGTGACTGTACCAGTTACAACAGTAACTTCCACTGTGCCATACATAGATAGATACAGTTTTAGCACAAGTAGCACTGGTACAGGGTCCCTTGTATTGTCCTACCAATCCTCCTTCTGGTTACATTGATAGTATAAAAGACAGACACAGACTCATGCATATACAGATTATTATCTACTCAAGTGTGTGTGCTTAATTATTGGCCACTCTGGAGCAGATGCTGCAGTGACAAATCTTGTTCTCTTTTAATTTTATGATGCTCTTCGAAAGCCAAACTAAAATAATTTCATTTATAATTGTTAGTTCCATCCCAGCCCACATGTGCTGCCACATCCCCTGGCTTGAAGTGTTTTCTCGGATTAATAAGATTTACAGTATGGCTCTCAGCACTCACCACTACACACAGCCCCCCCTGAAGCCAAGATTCAAGCAGCCAAAGATTACTTCTTCGGTAACTATGTTACAGGTATTTGCATTGCAATATGGGTAACTCTGTGAGCTACACATTGCCTTCAGCACTATGCCCAGATTGGGAGCAATATAAGAGCCCTCTATTTTTAAAATAATACAGGGTATACAAAAACTGGAAAAAAAGATCCTCTTAACTTGGGTTAAAATAGCAGAGATGACAAAGCAACTTGGCTTTTAACTTGGATTTGAAACTCAAGATAAAAAGCATGTAAGGAAACCTGGAATTGTGAACCTGAGTTAAAAGCCAAGTTGCGATGATGGCTATTTCTACATTGCTGGCCTCTTGCACAAGAAGCCTTTTGCGCAAGAGTTTTTGCACAAAACCTTCTTGCACAATAACATGTCCACACCTCAAAGCGCATTGCAAAAGTGATGTGCTTTTGTGCAAGAGAGTGTCCACACTGCATGGACTCTCGTGCGCAAGAAAACTCTGATGGCCATTTACAGAATGGCCATCAGAGCACCAATGCTTTTTCCCATAGGAGCGTCTACACTTTTTCCTCTGGAGCATCTACACTTGCCTTTTTGCACAAAAGCTGTAGCGCAGAAGGGAGTTATGCCTCGTAGAAGGAGGTTTACCTACACCGGCAAAAGCCTTCTGTTCTGCCATTTTACTGCTGATTTACTTGTGCAAAAGCACATTTGAGGTGTGGACACGCCGCAGTTTTTTGTATAAAATGGCTGTTTTTGTGCAAAAACCTTCCAGTGTAGATGTAGCTGATAAGAATAAACATTCCCTCCCCCCCCCAAAGAAGGCCCAAACTTAAGGGTGATATCTCAGCCCTATTGAAGTCAATGGGAATTTTGCAGCTGACTTTGAAGGGCTACGATTTCATTCTTTATTAATTTCTTTTGTACATTCTCCTGACCTGTTTTCTCTTTATTCTGCACTGGTCAGCATCCCTAGTAGTGACTGCTTGTGGACATCTGCTTAGCAGTGTCCACAAAAAGATCTCTATTCTGGTGGCTAGTCACAATAGCTTGCCACACCAACTAATGTTTCTCTCCAGATGTGGAGTCTCAGCTCACCACAGCTCCAAGAGGTTTTTTGAGACGTGGTAAGGCTGGAGTAATCTTGTAGCAATGCTGATGTATGCCTGCCTAGCATCAAATGGGCAAATCCCGATCCCAATACAGTTTTTAAAAGAGTAAATGCCTTTTGCATGTCATTTAAAACAGATGTTAATTCAACCACACATTGCTATTTAGCCCTTTAGAAAATGATTGTCCTTTTAATGGACAATGGGTTCCTGTACCCATTTACAAAAGTAACTTCCAATATGCTGTGCATAGACACATACAACTTTAACATAAATAGGACTGGAGCCGGGAGGGGGGGACATGCAATCAACCTGATATCAGTGCAGATGAAGGCACAGAGGCAAACAGACAGCTCAGCAAGAGTCGTCCAGAAAGCAGTGTGGGACAGAAGCTTTGTGTGCACATGAACAATGGACTGAACTAATTTAATTCTCACTGTAGTCAGTTCACTTTGAAAGAGGACCCCAGAGTTTGCAATAAATGGGGATTTAGAGTGTTATAATTAGGCTTAGCAGAATTATTTTTTATAGTTTTGACAAATAATATTGGTTTATTTTTAAGCATTATTTGATTTTAATCCAATTAAATTTTCACAGTTGGGGGAAATTACGGGAGAATCATGCCATGTTAGACAACAGTTTCTTAATGATGACAGACATCAGAGTAAAAAAGTTACAGCTTTATAACCATTAAAATACAAATAGTCAAATACACAGTGCACATATCCTTAAATCAAATGCTAATACATTCTTAGGTGTCATTTTTCTGATTTTGCCTATCTGTAAATTTCAATTATTTTTATGGAGTTTTTTTATATTTTTATGGAGAGTGGTTTATATGTGTGTGTGGTGAAACTGATGTTTACTGGCATTCACAAGGTAAAAATCTAATTCTTCCAAGTCTAGCTACAATGAATTGTATCTTGTGTACACAAGAATTTTCAAACTGGATTTTTCTTAATCTGATTTAACAAACCCAGCATTTCTCAACAGCACTAATGTGAACACAATTTGTTAAAGACAAAAGGATTCCACTGCTCTTTTGAGGGACTCTAGAGCCATGTACCAGTCAACTCCATCCCTTGTGCAAGAGCCAATGTTGCAGCTCATAATATAGGGGAAAATCCCACAGATCTTATATAAGTTATTAATTCTAATGAAGCCAATTGTACAATTCACAAGCATAAGGTCTGCAGAATTGGACTCATAACTGTAACAACCAATGTGAATCAACAGCTAATTTTAGCAAAAGAAAACAAAACCCCCTCCTTTTGTAAATCCCCTTATTTCACTCACCCCAATCTTCTGTGGTGACCTCAAAGGTTCTTTCTTGACAAGCCGTAGATAAAAGGCAGCAGGAAGAATGAAAATCAACATTGTGGCAGCGGATGCACCTGGAACAGAAACCATAATTGAGTTCTGATTAATATGTAAATAGGTACAGTATTTTACAGAAAAGAAAATATACCTGGAATGCTAGCTACTGGTTCAGCTATAGTTCCAATTGTGCAAGGGTTTTTATTATAACACCCTGTTTTCAATTAGTCATAACTTTCTTACATTTTTGTCTTTCAGACTGAAAAAAGGATCCCCGTTGAGGGCAAAGGGCAGGATATAACAGTATTGTTATTTCTTTGGGAGGCATCATCTGTTTTTTCCTATAACTACCTGATTGAAAAAATGAGCAGCATATCAGAGAGAGGCCAGTCATTTGTTGACTGTCATGTTTCCCTCCTCTGATTTTTAGAACAACTAAAAGAAACTCTTTTTTATCCTCACAGCATTATCAACAATAAAGCAGTTGTGTGGTATTTCCCAAAGTCTACATATTTATGCCACTGCAAATTAAAAGAAGGTCATAATCCGTTAAAAATGTTACAGTAAAGGCAATGTGCTGTGAATTCCATCTAATAGTTCAACACAGATTAATTCAGTGAGTAATAGATCCCAAACTCTGGACAGGAAAACTGTTCTTTTAATCACTGGCAAGGTTCTCCCCACTGTGGTTTAACTTACTATGCTTTAACTTATTCATTTTCATTGCATAATAAGAGTCATTCAGAGGAGAAAATTTTCTAATCTATAATATAATAAAACAAAACAGAGACTACAGACTATATTGGCAATTCTCCTGCGTGACCAAGACCCTCCTGGGAGCAAATTTGCAGACCATTTAAAACACATAAAAATGAAAAGGAGACCAGTACTATAAAAGCAGAGAGAAACTTTCTCCAGAAGTATTTGGATCTCCTGACTCCTTAGCCAACACATTCAAACTTATAGAAAACAAGTGACAGTAAGAGTGCGTGTGTGTGTGTGGGAGAGGGTGGTGGATGGGGGAGATAACTTTTTCCTGAATTTTTTAAATCCAAAATTGGAAATTCAATACTTCTTGGCCAGTTCTATAGAGGGTGGAATTTCTTAACTCTCAAATTTGAAATGAAACTTGTTGACATTTTTTATTCTCTATGACTTACACTGGCTGCCAGCTAAAATCTGGTACCATTTAGCTTGGATGAGTCATTTTCAGTTTCTTTTTTTCTTTTAACCCTTCTAGTACAAAAGGTAGTAGTAAGTGCACTGAAGCTACTGCATTGTAAATTAGACAAAATTCACTTCCATCATCTGAATGTAAGGCATTCTCTTTAGCTACAGATTAACATAATAAACTGAAAGTATTCATGAAACCTACCAATGAATCCAAAGATGTCTTTAATAGCAGGCACAAAAATTACAAGTGTGTTATTAAATGCAAGAAGTACTGCTGCGATCAGGAAATGCCTTATCCAGCTGAATGGCCTTTTGGGAAACAACAATGTGGTGATGGATGAGCGGATCTGCAACAGGAAAAATAAAAGCAGAAGATAGTGGATTTGTTTTTTTAAGATCTGTGCTAGTTTTCCAGTGAGAAATTTTAAACAAAGAAGCATATTTTAATTCATTTTCTTTTAATTTACTGCCCTGATGTAGTTTTGAGCCCTGGGTTCACAATTTATTGTAGAAGCTCAAATATATACAGTATAAATCTCTTCCACTGAAAGGTGCTGGTATCAGAAAAATATAAAGAACACCTAACAAATACTAATTAACAGAGCAAAAATGTATACATGTGTGTATGAAATATAATCAAATGAGTTATTTTAGACCAGTTTGTGGGAACTTTACTTCAGTGGTAGCAAGATCAAGCTGTAATATTATTTCCCTTTTAAAATATATAACAAAATAAAAAATAAATAGATCTGATTATTATAATATTCAAAATTGCATTTATAAGATGTGTAGAGAGTGGATTCTCTTTGTTCACTGTAACTTCATTATAGATTTTAACATACTTCTTTGGCTTTTGCACAAGCAGAGATAAGTAGGTAAAAGGTCAACAGTAAATCCATTTGGCAACAGCAGATAGTGTTACACTGCAATATTGTGAACCAGTAAATAGATCCTCAGGGTGGAAGTAGAACAGTATATGTTTATATACGTTTAAAAAACATATGCTCCAAATCATTCCCATCGTTTAAAATAACAGAGAGTTGATTCTATAGGGTAATTCAATAGGAGTATGAATTTCTGTCAAACTTGGGAGTCTTTATTTTAAAAATATTTTTAAAATGTTGAGGGATCTGCATTTTAGATCTTCAGGTCTATGTGTTGTGAAGAGATAAATGAGTTTAAAATAAATGATTTTGAACTTAATATTGAACACTTTTAAAATTCTAGGCCAGTCCCTCATGCTAATTTATCCCAGTTCATGTGCCAGGCTTTTCTCTCTACTCAGTTATGTACTGTTTCCAGCTTGTTATACCTGGCATGTGGTTCCATTTGAAATTAAAGCTGTATTTAAGTTTCATTGATGATTAATACCATACAAAGATAAATGTAAAAATTGTAATATGTGAAGTATGATGTTTTGTAAAAGAATAAAAACGCTGAATGATTCACATAATTAAAGTTACAAATATTGTTTCCCAAATTAATAATGTAGAGGAAAAACTAATTGTTGGAGTAAATTTCATGGTTCATTCTACACTGCTCATCTGAAGTAATCCTTCAGTAATGCTGAGCTGGCTAGGTTGACTGGCCAGATAGAATTATTGGATTTAGAATATCTGGCACTGCTTCTTTGGAGTTACCTTAATAGAGCACTTTTGACCATGGTATCTAATTGCTAGAACTTTGATTTAATGTTTAAGGGGAATGGTATTAGAATAATCACATAAAATGCCAAAATGTGAAATGAAAAATCTAGCAGATGTGGATTTTTTTATGTAGGAATCAAAACCGTGTTTCCTTTTAGCCTAGTGTCAGTTGCAAAATGATCATCATTTTAACAGTTTAACTGTGAAAACAACAGCAATATTGACACCACAGGGTGAGGACTCAATCAAAGCAAGCTGAGTTGATAACTTTGTGTGTGTTTTATATTGGGGTTACACCACAAACCCTCAAAGATATTTCTAAGGCATATATTACATTACTTGAGCAGTTATCACTGCTTTTAAATACACATCAGCATGTCTGTAAACAATACACGTTCAGGACTTAAGACTCAAAGGGCACATCTATACGTAGCGGAAGATCTACGCGCTCGAGGTTGATCTTTTGGCATTTGATTTACCGGGACTAGTATAAACCCACAATTTGAATGCTGAGGGCAGCTCCCGTTGGTGTCTACTACTCCTCCTTTTGCGAGGAGTAAGGGAAGCCAATGGGCGTGTTTGCTTCCATTGGCCTCTGCAGTGTGGACACTGCCAAGGCTCGCCTTAAGGTGAGCTGACTGCAGCAACACATTTTGTATAGCTGGAGTTGTGTATCTTAAGCCGACCTGCCTGGTCTAGACCAGGCCAAAATGTAACCTTGTTATAATGCAGTATTCCTGTATGGCTATCATGAAGCAGTATCCTGAGAAATCCAGAACTGATGATAGAATCACTCAGTAGCACAGGAACTGCTAGAGCGTGTGATGCACTTTGTCTGAGCTCTGTCAGACAATAACTATGTTGGACTTGGTTCTCTATGCCTAGTTGGATTGACATCCCAGAAGACAGTACATCCACTATTTCATATATGAGAATAAAAAGTAGGTCTGTCAATTAATTACAGTTAAATCAAGTAATTAACTTAAAACAAATTAACTTGACTAAAAATTACTCCTGTTTAATTACAGTTATAATCTCACTGTTAATAACAGTATAATAATGTATGTTTACTGTCAATATTTTTGGATATTTTTCTACAGTTCCAAATATATTGATTTCAATTACAACACAGAATACAAAGTGTATAGTGCTCACTTTATTTATCTCAGGGTTTAGTTCTCTTAAATGTTAAAGTATGACAAAATTAATGTAAAAATACAGAATTACAGTCCACATGTACAGACTGCTCAGATTTCATCTCCAGAATCTGTTTTCACTTACAGGAAAAAGGACTATGGGAACAGTCAAGGTGACAGCCACAAGCACTGCCAGGCGAACCATCAGAAGAAGGGTATCGAAGGTGTACACTTTGGTGTAAGTATGAAGTAATTCATCTTCAACTTCTCCTACAAAAGAAAACGAAAACAGGCTAAGCTCATTTGGGCACAAGCTTTGCTTCAAAACTAAGATTGTGTAACTAAGCAAGACGAAAGATGCCATGTCCCTGCAGTTGTGGTCAGACACATGCAACTTATTAGATACAAAAAATGCAGTTTTCCTGAATATCAGTCCCTCCATGGTGGAAATGTTGATGGTAACAACATTCAAGAGTTATATAATGCATTTCATCTAAGGAGCTCAAATGATTTTACAAAATGTGCTATATAGGCAGCAGCAGCAATAATTTGCAGACTACAGATTAAGTTATACCAGGTAGTCCTTTCCTATGGCCTTCTCTACACTAGAGTGTATTGCATGCATTATCAGGAAAGGGGAAGCTGCAACAGTGGTGTAGCAGTGGCTAAGTTACAAAGAGAAGTACTCCAGGGTATTGTAAAAACTTGCTGAGCATTAGAGTACTGTCAGTTTGGCTTCCATTAGCCATGTGGAAGGTGTGACATCTACAGCATCTGGTTCACACAATGCATGCAATCCTGACACACACAGGTGTTCATTCTCACCTGGAGGTATTGATAATCTCTTAAAAGACGAGAGAAACTTCTACCGAGAATATGGCTTTGACTCACTGACTCACCATAGAAGGTAAGATAACCAAAGAGAGCAGCAAGCAGATACATGATCAGCATTCCAGCAATGGAGATGTTTGAAACATTCTGCATCTTCTTTCGTGACCGGCTGGGTAGGAATGGAAGAATAACAGAGTAAATAGTTTATAAATTCTATATTTGTACATATTGTCTAGTGAGCTATTACAAAGAGTCTAAGGTGTATTCTGCTAACATTGTAACTAGTAAGTGAACTCAAAGCAACTAAACCTAAATCAATGTTATAACAACTCAAGTGAGTTTTAAAGCCCTTTCAAATCTCAGTATCATTGTACAGAACTGCTCAGAATGATCTGTACACATTACGGTTTTTTATTCAATTGCTAACTTGATAGTGTAAAATTAAATGTATTATAACTATTTACATATCTATATCATGTCAACTTCAGGAGGAGGCATTATTCCTGTAGCCAGATCCCACAGGGAAGCCTTCTCACCCACCTAAAGTCAGTGGTACTCCAGGAGATGTACATGTGACAGATAGGGATCCAGGACTGGAGTCTCATTCATCAAGATATTTTTGGTTTTCTGTAACACTTGAATTCATGACCAAAATAGAAATGTTTCCAGTATTTCTGGTGATTCATAAAATGTTGCTTCATTTCTAGGAATACCAAGATTTACTGTCTCTTAAGGTAAATACAGACCAAGGTTATCCTGAGTCAGTAATCCTGATGTATGCTTATTATGGAATGCAACAAACCACCAGTGCATGAATTTGTACATTACTGATTAAAGCAGGACACCTATAAAGTGACCAGATAATTGCTACTAGTTTAACTAAAGAAGCGTGTGACAATTGTTTTTAAAAGTAAAGTTAAGAGCCTTACTCTTTAAGTTCACTGTATATTGGTAGCACCTCAGGGTGGCATACAAATGCAAATGCCAGGATGGGTATTGTATAGGCAGTCTGAAAAATAAAGGTGTTTAGTATGAATATTAACAACTGAATCATATGAGTTTATTGTATTGGGCAGCAGTTTACTTGAAGTGTTAATGGCTATAGACAGATTCTGTGGAATCTCCCTTACCTGTGAGTTAAACACAAAATATTTGGGTCGGCACTTGTCATCACTGTCACTGTGGGCTTCATATTCCACTCCACTTGTGTGGAGGGTATCTTTTGCCTCCTCAAACCCTGTGGTATGTCCAAGTGTATTGTCCATCATGAAATTCACTCTAGAATTGACAGACTCATTTGGTAACATCACTAAGTGCATTGGAACTGAGTTATTGATGTAGGTCCAGTTTCCAACACTATTATCCAGTATAGGGAGAGGGCAAGGTATTTGGGATTTCTTGTAAATTACCTACAGTAAGAAAAGAAAATGTCAACATGAGATTATACCTTTGAAAAGGTGGCTTGTAATTACACCATTGATTGAAAACATTAGTGACTGAAAACTTAATATTTAAGGTGCCAAGTTATGATCACTGCCCCTGCTTGTCTAGGAATTGAGCGTATCCTATTAGTTATGTTTCTCTGCCCTCATCTTGGTTTTTTTGTCTCATCTCCTTGTTATGTTTTGCTTTTTAGACTGTAAACTCTTTGGGATTGGTAATGCCATATAAATTGCCTAGCACAATAGGATCTTGATCAGGCTGGGCTTTAAATGCTTAAAAAGTACAGGGAAGACATCTGAAGTTTCTGAATTATTTAAAGATTCTGCATTTCCTACTTCTGGCTAGAGCTGGTGATATATTTCATATAGTTACATACCACGGTGAGAAAGAAAGCCATGCAGGTAAGTGAAAATCCACTTGTATAACCAAGGTAACCTTCAAAGAAAGAATAAAAAAGAACCACATGCAGTTAAACCACACATACATTCAGATCACTAATCAAGATAAGAAACAAAATAATATATTTTAAGTAAGGAAATAGTTTTACCTAAATTTTTTAGAAGGGAAAGTGGAAGTATAATTCCAATTGACACAAATATAACGAGGTAGTTACCATTCAGGTACCATTCTCTAAAGAGAGAAAAACCAAGTCAACCTCACATTAATTCTTTCTGTCATTGTTAACTATAATTTTTTTTCCAATGAAGTCATAGATTGTGCAAAACAAACATACCCAGAATTCTCTTCAAGATTCAGAAATGCTCGGATTACTTCAGGAAGTTCATATTTAATAATAAAGAGGTAGCTTGACATTGCTGAAAAAAACAAACCCATCAGCTAAGTAAAATAGAATACTATAGTTCCAATGCAGAATCTTTACTGCTATCATTCTTTAAAAAAATAAGAGATACCACATGCAGTACTATATAATATTTTGAAAATGCAATATATACACTGATTTTAGTCAAACTTGCTTAACTATATGAACATGTAGATGAAATGAAGTACAGAGTCCAGTTTTCAGAACTAGACAGTTCTGTATTTTGGTTCAAAAATCACCATTTTACGTACCAGAGTCGGCAGTGTGAATAAACAGATGATAACTTGACAGTGCTCCCTATTAATAAGGTAAAAGCCATGTTCTGAATTAAAACCAGCTTTCAGTCTTAGAATACAATACAGTTATTATTTAATTAACAGTGTGCTCAAGTTGATATTATGCTGAAATATGCATTCTTGTCCTGTCTCTTTGCTTTACTATTGTAAATCCTGGTGTTCTGATGGACTATTTTCCTCACAACTCTCCACCTTATAATAAATGTGGGTGCCTCAACTTCTGACCACTCTCTTTCCAAACTATCAACCTACCTAACCTTTGTTTTTCCTGGGTTACATTCCTCTCTCATCAACTAAGTATATTTCTTTGTCTAGTTAAACTGTATTTGATTTAGTAAGAAAGGACAGAAGCCAAGACACACATTTGGTCTTTGAGAGTCATAAGGCCATACTAAATTCATGGTCCATTTTGCTCAATTTCATGGTTACAGGACTTTAAAAATGATAAATTTTGTGATTTCAGCTCTTTAAATCTGAAATTTCGCGATGTTGTAATTTGTAGGGCTCCTGACTCAAAAAGGAGTTGTGGGTGGTTGCAAGGTTATTGTAGGGGAGGTTGTGGTATCCTTACTTCTGTACCGCTTGCTGGCAGTGATGCTGCCTTCAGAGCTGGGCAGCTGGAGAGTGGTAGCTTCTGGTCTGTATTCCAGCTATGAAGGCAAAGCCACCACCAGCAGCAGTGCAGAAGTAATGGTGTCAGTACTTAAATAACCAGCTTCAGAGGGGTAGCCGAGTTAGTTTGTAACTTGAAAAACTTAAAAAACAACAAATAGTCTAGCAGCAACTTAAAGACTTAACAAAACATGTAGATGGTATCATGAGCATTTGTGGGTACAACCCACTTCTTCAGATGACCGGAGTATTAAAAGTCCAGATCCAAGAATAAGGGAAGGCGGTGGCAGGGGGGAAGGGGAAATGGGAAGGCCAATTCCATAAGCCAAATACACAGGGAAGGGTTGGAAATTAATTTCATTAACAAGTTTGATTCTTATCAGAGAGGAATGAATAAAGATATCAGCTGGCTGGCACACTACCTTCCACATCCTAATAACTTAACCAACCAACCTAACAATGGATGCTAACAGAGGTGCTAATTGTTCTTATCAGCCTTTTGTAATTTGAACATCAAATTCACTACTTTTTTATCTTTTTTTTTCCTTTCCCCCCCTCCTTCCCTTATTTATTCTTGGATCTGGACTTTTAATACTCCAGTCATCTGAAGAAATGGGTTGTACCCACCCACGAAAGCTCGTGATACCATCAAGGTGCTGCTAGACTAATCGTTTTTTAAATTTTTTAAAATAACCAGTCTTTTGGAACAGGATCCCCAATTTGAGAAATGCTGGTCTCCTCTGTAGTATCTATATAGTAAAGGGTAAAAGTACACAAAAAGACCAGATTTCATAGTGGGTTAAGGGTGTAAACTAGATTTCAGAGTATAATGACACTTTTTTATGACCGTGAATTTGGTAAGGCCCTAATCATAGTAGCCAATCAGAAGAGAAGGACTGATAGTATCCACTCACAATAGAGAGGACTGCATAATCTTAGAATAGTTATTATGAAATTGCTATATGAATGAAATGTTTCTTTTGCTCTGGATGGCTTATTGTGATTGGCAGCCAGATTCTAGAGATTTTCAAACAGAACAAAGTTGTAAAACTGAGATGATACCTATTTCCATTTCATTTTGCAAACTGCTTTTTAAATTATTTCAGCCATTTGCAATTAACAAAGTAGAAAAAGTTACAAGGCTCCCGGGCTCTCAGAAATATGATTCTGCCCCGAGAATAGATTAATTTAAAAAAAGATGAGACTCTCCAATGAGCTAATGCCCAATCCTGCAACTTTTACTCATTTGGGAAATCACTTGGGACTGTTACGCATGCAATAGGAGGTGTCATGTGAGTAAAGTTTACTTGTGTGGATGATGGTTGCAGGATCAAGTTCTTAGACAGTGGGAATGGACAGTGCTCAACATCTCACAGGACCAAGCCCAAACTAAAATATGCTGTCATGATATAATCGATCTGGAAAATCAGTTACTAAGCATCTTTCTCCTATTTTTGTTTTGTTACTGTGAGGTCAAAGTAATGTGGCTGCCTTTTTTTCAGCTATGCACATCACTGTGGGCCATACACTTTGCTCAATCCATGCTGGCATCTGCATCAGCCTGAGGACATGTGCATGCAAGGAAAACCAGTGTGTATTTTCATAATGGAGAAAAAATTTAAGCTTTAAAATATTTGTTTATAAGAATATGTTGCCCTTACCACCAATATTCTGCATTGTAATCGAAATAAAAGCACCATACTTTCCAGGCCATCCAAATGCCTTTTCACCTAGTTTTTCATATATTAGGGAGCCTAGATGCAACAAGAAAACATGGTTGGCTGTAAAAATACACAGTTACACACATTTAAAGGAGAAATATGTGCATGCAACATGAGCATTCAGTTAAGTATCAGGGCCTTCCTCATACCTCCTTCTTTTGAAGTCTTCAGTAAAAGGTGAACTGAATAGAGTGATAATATTGCTATGCTGAACAGTAGGATTCTGTAAGGAATAACAGGAATTAGAATCTTGAAGCTGACAGTAAATGAACTAAAATGACTTAACAGAACATGAACTGAGTTGCTAGTTTAACATGTACATTGTCACAAGATCAGTTTGAGTATTGGAGTCACTGGACATAAAGCAGAGATCAACGTAGGCTGTCATTTATACATCCTCTGGCAACATGCATGTTGCACTATCTGGTTTCCCTCTAGAGAATATTTTAAGACCCATTGAGACTCTGATTCTTTATTGTCCTGCAAAAGCAGATTCTTGCATCTGCACAGAGATCCAGTGAAGTCAATTGGACTCCACATGAGCGGACCTTCCAGGATCCAGGGCCTTAAACTCCCACCAATTTACCAAAATGTAACTTAACCCTTTCTCCTTTCCCAGCACCTCTAAACCATCTGAAATACCATAACCACTTAAATGGCAGATGTTGGCTAGTCATTATGTCTGAAAATCAGAGCATTAGGCTGTCTATGAACCATGAAGTCTGAGCTTAGGAGCTATTTTTGACACTATAAATATATATCAGTGTTTCTCAAAGTGGGCCAGAGGTCCAGTTTAAGAAAGCTGCTAGTGGAACCATGCCACTTTTTTACCTAAAGGGTACATAGACATGGAGCCTCACAGCTCCCATTGGCTCTAGTTTGCCAATTCCAGCCACAGGAAACGGTGTTCCAGATCACATCGCTTTCCATGGCTCCCCTTGGCTAGAAGTGGTGAACCAGAGACAATGGGAACTCTGGGACTCCATGGCTATGGACATTTAGGTAAACAAAAGTGAGATGGGCCTGCTGAAGGTTTTCCCAACCATGTTGGCTGACTGGCCATGTGTTCCCATTATGGTATCAATCCACAGTCTTCTGACCACACAGAAAGGAACTGAACTATGGCAAGATTTTTGAATTAGCTACAATACTAGACTAAAGAGAAACTTGATCGGTATAAAGGTGCTGGTCCAATGCAGGTCCTTTGGATCCATGTGGGGTTGGGACTTGAGTTTCTTGTGGATTTTGCAGAGCTATGGAATTTCAGGGCCATACCCCCTGTCTCCTTCATGCGGCTGCAAACCATCCTCCTCCACCCCCCGGGGGTGCAGGGAATGCAGGGAGGATGCTGCAAGATTAAACTTTCTGAACTTTAGGAACCTTCCTTCCTGTGGAAAAGCTCATTGAAAGGGAGCATTTGGGCCATCTCTGAACAATACATTAGTGACAGTAACTATAACTTGAATTAGGCTTAATACGGTAGATTTGGTTTGGCAAATGGAATTTTTCAGTCTGTTTGACAACTAAAGTCACAATCTGTAACAACAGGATCTTGCATAGCAAGTCTATGCCTGACACTAAAGTAACGATATCCTCCACATACTTGTCTGCTTTTAAATAAGACTTTCCCCTATAAGAAGGGAGAATGTTCTCACCCCCAAAGAATGAAAATATGATAGGACAGAAAGTGAGCTGCTGGGTAGAGAAAGTGGTTTATGTTTTTTTTTTAATTAGGCAGCACTCTTTAAAAATTATTCCACTGTAAGGGTGACTATTTTAATTTCTGCCAATGCTAATGTGACTAGGCTTATGACAGTGTCTATGCTACATTTAAGATTTGTTAGCCATAGTTTCGAACATCCTGAACTCTAACAGTTAGGATTTAGAAAATGAAGGAGACTTTCTTTTAGCCAGAGCTAATATACCATGGACTAGAGATAATTCCTAACCGAGTTGGCTATTATTGGACACCCTAAAGAAGAAGAGTTTTGAATTCTAAAGAGTTTTTTTAAAAGCCTTTTGAAGTTTCTTGGCTCTAGAGCACTCCCCTTTAAAACCAGTTTCCATTTGTTGTGGAACACTTAACTACCTGATTTGTAGGTTAAGTATTTAGCTGTCAAAGTAGTAGCATCTGACTTATAATTAATTTCAGGCAAAAACTCTGCAGCCAAAAATAGGAGATGCCATTCTCTCTTGCAACCTAAGTATATAGTTTCAAAGCCTACTGCAGAGTTTTTATTACACAACTTCCATAAGTCTAGAGGAATCACACAGAGAAAACTCTGCAAGCTGATCCGAATTTTTACTTTTTTCCAGTAATGTAAAGCAATGGCCCACATTACATTCTAGACTTTTTACTAAACAGAGGAGGATTAACATTAAGGCCCTCATTAAATGAGATTATAAACTAAAGCTACTTGCTAAAGTGAGACATCTTTTAAATGTTCTCTCTCAACTTGATAGGGACAGCTAGGGATGTCTGTACATAGACGTCTGTTGGTGTCTATCAAAATATATGCTGTATATTACCGTATGTCAGTGACATGCCATTTCTGTCTTCAGTGATAGCACATTTGGTACAGACAGATGGACATTAAATATTGGTAAATCTATAACCGTATTGGTATTCTGCCCCTACATCTGTTTCAGAGTTAAAGTTATATGGGCACAAAGTATTCCTCCTCCTTTTCTAAAAAGTTATAATTAGAAATATATACATAAATATACACTTCCCTGCTTGTGTGGAATTGCTTGTACTGAAATAGAGGGAATGCTGCTGTTATTTTATAAGAAAAAAGTATAGTGTCCTTCCAATTTGTTTTTGACTGGCCATTATAAATTCCCAGCAATTAATCTAATACAAAGCAGAGCTGAAATTAGGGTGGTTTATCATCATTAGACAGAGTCTTACAATGGTATTAAAATGTTTTAATTACTGGAGACCTTAACAAATAACAATCTCTTCAGCTATAAAATATTGTTCTTCCCTTACACATATTTCCCTAATCACAGACACACTAGTGATAGCTCTCTAATTATAGTCTCCTCACTTTTCTGAGCCACCTTTTGCATACTTACACAAAAAGTATAATTCCTGTGTTGGCCATGGCATATGACAGCCCAAGGATGCCGCTGCCCATGATGGCATTGCTCAGGTTAAACGCTGACATTCCAAAGGAAGTGGTTCCTGGGTGCTATTAGAAACAACAAAATGTGAGTTAAATTATGCCTTAATGACTGCCCTGTAAAGCTGTTTATCTTTCCTATGTTCCGTATGGATGTTGTCTTACCACATTGCCTGATCCTACCAACATTTTTACTAGACGCCTACTACTTGCCATTTATTATTTGTATTACCATAGTGCACTGGAGCCCTAGCAGTCTCAAAAGGTTTACAACATAGGTATAGCACTATTATGCAAATGCCCTTTGCTTCAAGTACTGTCATGGTAGTAAGTGTTTACAGCATCAACACCATAGCTTTTCTTTTATCCTAATGGGATGGAGACATACCCCATTAGAATAATGACAAGTATTGATGACTGCTGGACTGATCATCACCTCATTTGATCCACAATGAAAATTAAGATGGCACTCAAATGGAGGCTGCAAAAGAAACAGATCAGGCGCAAGCTGAAGGTTCAAGATCTAAAAGACACCATTAAGCATGACCACTTCCAAGTAGTCTTATAAGAAAAGTTTCTGGAAGAAATTGAGGAACATTGGAGTTAGCTGAAAGCATCAATCATCAATATCTGAGAGGAAACCATTGGCAACCACACTAGACAGCATCAGGACTGGTTTGATAAGAATGATGTTGAAATCAAGCAGCTCATCAATGGGAAGAGAATGGCATTTTGTGCTTGGCAGAATGATTTAAATTGCAAGACAAAGAGAGAAGCCCGTGCTAAGGTGAAGACAGAAGTCCAATGTAAAACCAGAGAACTTGAACAAATGGTGAACAAATAATACACATGGTTTCTTTAGTGCCATTAAGATTGTTTATGGGCCAGCTTGTCATGGCATGAATCCCCTTTGCTCTAAGGATGGAACCACACTTTTGAAGGACGATGAAGCCATTCATTTTCACTGGAAAGAACATGTTGAAGATCTTCTTAATCGTAATTCCGTAGTTGCAGATGATGTTCTTGAGAAAATCCCCCAACGACCTTCTAGAGATGAGCTCGGAGACCCTCCCAGTTTGCATGAGGTATACAATGCCATCAAGCAGATGAAGACCAACAAAGCAGCAAATCCAGATGGGATCCCTGCTGAAATCTTTAAAGACAGTGGACCAGAGTTAATTTGGCAGTTTAGCCAACTTATCTTTAAAATCTGGATAAAGGAGGAGATACCTAGTGAAATGAGGAACACCTTCATTGTAAGAAGGGGGATAAAGTGTACTGTGAAAACTATCATGATATCTCGCTCCTTGCTGTTTCAGGCAAAATTCTGGCATGGTCCTTGCAACCCGTCTTCTGCCCCTGTCAGAAGAAATTTTACTGGAGTTACAGAGTGGCTTTGGACCATGTCGGAGAACTGCAGATATGATCTTTGTTGCGTGGCGGCTTCAAGAAAAGTGTCAGCAGCAAAACCAACCACTGTATATGGCTTTTATTGATCTAACTAAAGCCTTTGACTCAATGAATTGCTGTGCCCTTTGGTCTGCACTTTCAAAGTGATTCACCAAGCCCTTTGTTCTGCACTTTCAAAGATTGGTTGGCCTGATAAATATATCAGTGTCCTAAAGTTGCTCCATGACAACATGAAAGTGACTGTTCTGAGGAGCACTGGCTCCCAGAGTGAACCGTTTTCAGTACAAACAGGAGTCAAACAAGGATGTATCATTGCCCCATCCATGTTCACAGTCTTTATTACCATCATTTTCTGCCTAATTGCTGGGAAGCTCCCAGCTGGGATTGAAATCATCTACAGAATGGCTGGAAAGCTGTTTAGGCTTAGCACGCTGAAAGCGAAGAGTAAGATTTCTACCATGGAAATCTATCTATCGTGGAACTTCAGTAGGCTGATGACAATGCAGTTTTTTCTCATTCTGAGAAAGATCTTCAGGCTATCTTGAATGTGTTTCCTGGTGCTTATGCATGTCTTGGTCTCACCCTCAACATCAAGAAGACCAAAGTGCTCCATCAGCCCTCTCCAAATGAGGTAATGTGTGCCCATCTATTAAAATCAATGGAGAGGCCCTGGAGAATGTTGATAATTTTCTCTATCTTAGAAGTTGTCTTTCATCCAGCACAGATATTGCTGTAGAAATCCAACATTGTCTGAGCTGTGCCAGTGCAGTCTTTGCTTGTTTATGCCGTAGGGTTTTTTAAGATCACAACATCTGAACAGACACCAAACTTCTTGTCTATCAAGCCGTCATTCTCCCGACACTATAGTAATGATCTGAAACCTGGACAACCTACAAACATCACTTGAAAGTCCTTGAGAGGTATCACCAATGCTGCCTCCACAAGATCTGGAAGATCAAATGGGAAGACATGCACACTAATAACAGTGTTCTGGAAGAGGCATAGACCATCAGTATTGAGACAATGATCATCCGTCAACAACTTCGCTGGACTGGTCGCGTTATTCAGATGGCAGACCATCACCTCTCAAAACAAGCCCTGTTTTCTCAGCTGAAAGAAGGAGACTGTGACGTCGGAGGACAACGGAAGCTTCATAAGGACTTGCTAAAGGATAACTTAAAGAAGTGCAACATTGACATTAACAGTTGGGAAACACTTGCTCAGGATCGCTCTAAATGAAGGCAAGTCCTACGCAATGGCTCTCTGCATTTTGAATTTGCCCACTGACGTGCTGAAGAGGAGAAGAGGCACAAGAGGAAGGAGAGATTGGCTTCTTGTCAAGGTCGCCTCCTGCTGTACCTGTCTCCTCACTGTAATAGAACTTACGTTTCAAGGATCAGCCTTATCAGCCACCTGAAGGTCCACAACTCCCATGGAAGATGATCGCACTCAGCAATGAGTGATCACTATCAATGGGCTGGAGAGTTATGTCCATACTAGTAACTGATCAAAATGAAACTGCCAGCAATGACTAGTTACCGAGCATTACTAAGAACCATAAATGCATCTTTTTTGGTTGCAACATGCCTAAATAAAGAAACATAACAATATATAACAATATATAACAGATGGCAGGAAAAGGAGCAAGGGTCTCAAGTTACAGTGGGGGAGGTCTAGGTTGGATATTAGGAAAAACTAGTTCACTAGGAGGGTGGTAAAGTACTAGAATGGGTTAGCTAAAGAGGTGATGGAATCTCCATCCCTAGAGGTTTTTAAGTCTCAGCTTGACAAAGCCCTGGATAGGATGATTTAGTTGGGATTGGTCCTGCTTTGGGTAGGGGCTGGACTCGATGACCTCCTGAGGTCTCTTCCAGCCCTGGGATTCTATGATTCTATGATAACAGTGGAAAAAACTAGCTCTTTTTCTGCATTCTCATTTGCACCGGTGGAGTGACTTCACAGTGTAGTGAATGACTTGGAATTGTTATTAAATATTTATTAGCAGGATTCAGATTCAGGGTGTTTAGTTGACCACAAAACCACATGAAGGAAACCACATGAAGAAAGAGTCCTACCCCAAAGATTATAAAATAGAAGGTCCTGATCCTGTAAATCTCAGACCTAGATTCACAAAATATTTAGGTGGCCAAACCCCTGATTTAGACCTCTAAAGACATGTCTACACAACGGGATAAGGTTGAATTAAAATATGAAACTTCAGTTACGTTAATTGCGTAAGTGAAGTTGAAGTACTTGACTTTTGGTGCTGTCCACACTGCAGGAAGTCTAAGGGAGAACACTTTCCCTTCGACTTCCCTTACTCTTTGTGGGAGCAGGACTACGGGCATTGACTGGAGTGCCTCTCTCAGTTCCAATTAGCATTTCTTCACTAGATCTGCTAATTGGAACCCCGGAAGATCGACAGTGGAAGCTTCAATCTTCTCTGTAGTGTAGGCATACCCTATGTCTGGGTTTAGTCACCTAAAACCCAGTTTTAGGCTCTGCTGTGATTCACAGAGCTCCCACTGAATTCCCTGGGCATCCATGTTACTTCAGCAAAAGTTCCGTAGTCCGCTGTGTTTCTGACTTTGGTCATTTGCACTACTGCCTTCCTGTAGTTGTCCAGTGCTGTCTCTTGGGCTAAGTCTAAAGTGCATTGCTTTTCCGAGATAGAAAAGCAACTCTGAATCGAAGGAATGACTGCTTTTTTGGAAAAATTTCGAAACAGCAGATGCGCTCTTTCACCATCCCTGTAAACCTCATCCTATGAGAAATAAGGGATGGCTTGAAAGACCATTTTTTTCCCAAAATTTGGCACTGTGTAGATGTGCCAAATTTCAGAAAAGCTTCTTGAAAAAGATACACAATTTGAGGACCACAAATTGCGTATCTTTTTCCAATTTACCAGTGCAGTGTAGACATAGTCCCAGAGTGATTCACAAAGCAGGGAAAGATAAGCATTTGTGAGTTCACACAAACAGATGGAACCTCAATCATAGCTTTTAGAATAGTAATTAGGGTATTTGCCCATGATGTGGGAGACTCCAGAGAGGGAGAAGTATCTGCCACCTCTGACCCTATCAGATATCCTGATGTAAGGCTCCTTCAGTCTCTCCTGTTGCACTCCTGTTGCAAGAGGCGGGTGCCCGCCTGGTCTAGTGCGGAGACCGTGGACCTCATTGAGGTTTGGGGGGAGGCCTCCAACATGCACGACCTCCGCACTAGGCACAGGAATGCAGCTGTCTAGGGCAGGATAGCTACCAGCCTGGCCACCAAAGGCCACATGTGAACCCACATTGATTGGACGCTATCTTTCGAAAAAGCGCATTGCTTTTTCATTGCGCTTTTGCTGTGTGGATGCTCTCTTTCAAAATAAGCTTTTCTGGAAGATCTCTTTTGGAAAAACTTCTTCCGAAAGAAGCTTGCAGTCTAGACATAGCCCTAGTGTAGTTCCCTGTCCTATGCAGTGGCACCTAGACCACAGCAACAGATAAGAAAAAAAGAGCTTTACAGCAAGGGCTGAGCATCAACTGTTTTTACAGCTCAAGCTGCAGAGGCTCCTATACTAAGCTTCAGAGGTCCCAGGTTCAAATCTGTCTGGTGGCAATTACACAAACATTACCCTTCAGTCTATATAAATCCACTGAAAGCTAATAGTTGTAATTAGAATTACTGGGACAATGTGCTGGCAGAGAGTTACTGAAGGCAGTATCTAGTCAAAGAAAACTTTACTATTAGGACCCACTGAGAAGAAAGAAAACCCCTAGCTTAATTATAAGGTACTAGAGTGATTTTTCAATGCTCACAGTTGGAAAGAAAACATCTGTTTATTTGTAGATAGAGAATATTGTATCTGGAAATCACCAAGGCTATATCTACACAGCAGCGTTATTTCAGAATAACTGACATTATTCCGAAATAACAGTCTGCATCTACACACAAGCAGTTATTTCGACGTAATGTTGAAATAGTGTTGAGCTGGAGGACTTATTACTCCAACTCCTGTAAACCTCATTGTACGAGAAATTGAAGAAAGAGTGCTCTACTCAGACTTCCTGTTGAGTAGACAGCACCAAAAGCCAAAATAAGCTATTTCGACGTAACTTATGCAACTTAGCTCAAGTTGCATAGCTTAGTTCAAGTTTAGCCGAGGGCTGTGTCTAGACTGGCAAGTTTTTCCGCAAAAGCAGCTGCTTTTGCGGAAAAACTTGCCAGTCTAGACACAGCCCTCGGCTAAACTTGAACTAAGCTATGCAACTTGAGCTAAGTTGCATAAGTTACGTCGAAATAGCTTATTTTGGCTTTTGGTGCTGTCTACTCAACAGGAAGTCTGAGTAGAGCACTCTTTCTTCAATTTCTCGTACAATGAGGTTTACAGGAGTTGGAGTAATAAGTCCTCCAGCTCAACACTATTTCAACATTAGCACGGATGCTTTTCCGCAAAAAGTGCTTTTGCGGAAAAGCGTCCATGCCAATCTAGACGCTCTTTTCCACAAATGCTTTTAATGGAAAACTTTTGCCAGTCTAGACGTAGCCCTGCTGTGTAGATGTGCCCTTGGACACGATTCACTAGAACCCTGTGATGTCATGTTTATAGTCTGAATAGAGGCATACTTAATACTTGATGATTAAGGCAGCCGCAAAAAGTGCTTTTGCGGAAAAGCGTCCATGCCAATCTAGACGCTCTTTTCCACAAATGCTTTTAATGGAAAACTTTTGCCAGTCTAGACGTAGCCCTGCTGTGTAGATGTGCCCTTGGACACGATTCACTAGAACCCTGTGATGTCATGTTTATAGTCTGAATAGAGGCATACTTAATACTTGATGATTAAGGCAGACAAAACAAAATATGCTGGAAATATTCTTTGGTGAGTTTTGCAGTAACATTTTTTACGTTTGCAAAGAGATTCATATATATTGTTCTGACTTTCCCAATATTCCTGAATCCACTACTGAAAAACTAATAATAAACTTACATATTCCTCCTGATAGTCTGCCAATTTCTTTTTACCCAGAAATCCATTGGGAAGGAACTTCTGATTTTCTGCATCATCGTTAGCAAATTGACTAAACACAAAGAAAAGAAAAAAAAACAGAAAACAAAATAAAGTTTATTACACTCAAGAGGTCCCACTGAAATAAAAGAAAAGACTCCTGCTGCATGAGTCAGGCCCTGTATTCAAAACTCCTTATTCAGTTTTAATCAGTGAAATTGATGGGAGTTCTATTGAAGGAAGTACTGCATTAAAAGTTAATGAGACACACAAGATTTGACCTACCAATTTTGTTTAATTTTAAAGGAATCTAAACCATACATGGCAGATTTGTAGGATTGACTGCATTTTCCAGCTTCTCTTACTGCATGGATGCTCTCTCTCCATGTAAGCACTGATTGGTATGCACAGAATGGCCACCAGCACACTCGTGCTTTTTCCTCTTTCCTCTTTTTGCACAAAACCTCCCTCTTCCCTGTCCACACATGCCTTTTTGCAGAAGAATTCCCTTACTTTCCAGAGTTTGGGTCCAGACCTGAACTTTGGCTCATGGCTGTGTTTAAGAGGCAATGAAAATATATAATATTTTAAGAGTTACATTGAATTCTGGAGTCAGGAGTATCAAATGTGGGTTCCCAAAGTTATGCTCTTTACTCTATATTTAGATACTTAATGAAGCAGCCTGATTTCCAGTGTTGCTTAGAACTCTCCTGCTCATAGGGTATGTCTACACTACCCTGCTAGTTCGAACTAGCAGGGGTAATGTAGTCATCCGCAATTGCAAATGAAGCCCGGGATTTGAATTTCCCGGGCTTCATTTGAATGAAGCCGGCCGGCGCCATTTTTAAATGCCGGCTAGTTCGAATCCCGTGCCGCGCGGCTACACGCGACACGGAGTAGCTAGTTCGGATTAGGCTTCCTAATCCGAACTAGCTGTACTCCTCATTCCACGAGGAGTACAGCTAGTTCGGATTAGAAGCCTAATCCGAACTAGCTACTCCGTGCCGCGCGTAGCCGCGCGGCACGAGGTTCGAACTGCCGGCATTTAAAAATGGCGCAAGCCGGGCCGCGTGTAGCCGCACAGCACGGGGTTCGAACAAGCCGGCATTTAAAAATGGCACCGGCCGGCTTATGCAAATAAAGCCCGGGAAATTCAAATCCCGGGCTTCATTTGCAATTGTGGATGACTACATTACCCCCGCTAGTTCGAACTAGCGGGGTAGTGTAGACATACCCATACTGATTTTCATTGATTTTGCTTCAGACTTTAAAATTGTGATGTTTCTTAACATTCTAGATTAATTTAAGCTCAAAGAATCATCAGACTTCTATTTGATTTCTTGGGGCACATCTACACTGCAGGGCAAAAGTCGAATTAAGATACATAACTTCAGCTATGTCAGTTGCATAGCTGAAGTTGAAATACCTTACTTCAGCTTTTGCCTCTGTCTACACCTCAGGAAGTTGAAAGAAGAACACTCTTCCTTCAACTTCCATTTCTCCTCATGAAATTAGGGTTACAGGAGTTGGAGTAAAAATTCCGCCATCTTGAAATTGTTTTGAAATAATGGCTTATTGCATAGGCAAGAGCTATGTTATTTTGGAATAATGTCAGTTATTCGGAAATAACACTGCAGTGTAGACCTGCCCTTGGTCTTAATGGAGACATTCTCCAAAACATTTCTATTAATAAGGAAGTAAAAGAAGAAATAAATTACTTCTCTGAATAAAACTTTCACATTGAAATTGCATGTTCAATAGGTCATTGCTTGAACTTGAAAGTAGTTTTAAAACACATAATCTTTAAAATAAAAGATTGTGTAAATTGTGAACAATTTTGAGTGAAAACAATAAAAACTTAATAATTATTTGTATCTAGGTGTCAAAGAACCCTGTAATTGCCTTTATAATAATATAGGTATTATGAGAACTGAGCATTTTTGATACTGGACAGCATGTGTTCAGAGTCAAGAACTGGACAGTCAGGGTACGTCTAAACTACATGGCTCCGTCGACGGAGCCATGTAGATTTGTTGTTTTGGCAAAGGTAAATGAAGCCGCGATTTAAATGATCGCGGCTTCATTTACATTTACATGGCTGCCGCGCTGAGCCGACAAACAGCTGATTAGCTGTTTGTCCGCTCAG